CATTCTACGTCGTATTTCAGCGCTGGCTTCCACGTCGACCCCGCCAGACCCATGAAACTCCAGCGAAGCTTCGACGGAGGCAAACAAGGTCCTCAAGCAGACTGTGGTTGGCATGTGACGTGTTGGGGCAATGCTTCCGGTGAGCTGCGCCCCTTGCGGCAAGGGCAAGGGTCAATTTTCCTTCCTGGCGCCACCTCCATTGAAGCGGAGCTCCGTGCGGCCGCGCGGGTAGGTGAAGAATTGTCTCTCGTAGTTCGTCTTTCCAGATCCAGGATGGTTGTGCGCGCAGCAGCGACCGGGTGACCACTATTGACCAGATCGCCCCACTCCAGGACAGCGCTGGGGTAGACGGTCTGGGAACCCTGGTGCCACGCACGTGCTGGCATGTCTCTCCCGTCTCATCGACGCCATTCTCGACCTCGAGATGCACCGGCGAAAATGCAAAACACCAGAGTCGCGACGGTGCGTCTCGGCGCTGCCCGGCACATATGGGAACGTCATGCGGGGGCGGGTAGGAATCATCAACGCATATTGAGACGTTAGTGTTATCCTAGCGTTCTTTGTCCTATCCCGCCGCCGTGCCTGTGTTGTGGGTCTAAGGCCTTTCGTATATGTGTTGGGGTGCTGTGGGGGGGCCTCTATGCGGCCTTTTGGAGGCGGCTTGGGCGCCTCTTGGGGGCCTCGTGGGGTATCTTGTGGGCCTTTTGGAATCTTCTTGGGCGCGTGTTGGGTGCGTCTTGGGGCTTCTTGGCGGCCTCTTGGGGCCTCCTGGGGGCTTCCTGTCGGGGCACAAGCATCGAATGTTCGGTTCGTGGTCCCTTGTTGGCCCCTCTTGGGGCCGTTTTGGGGCCCTCTTGGGCCGTCTTGAGCGCTTCTTGGGCCATAATGGAGCCCTCCTTCTTGAGGCCCTTTTGGAGGCGTTTTGGGTTGTTTTTTGGCAGTCTTGGGGGCTTCTTGAGCCGTCTTGGAGCGTCGCAAAGCTGAAGCTGCGAGAAAGTAGCCATCATTGAACAACCTCCGTGAAATCTGCGATTGGGGCCTCTTGGGGCTCTTTCGGCAGGCCTCTTGGAGCGCTCTCGGGGCCTCTTTGGGCCCTTTTGAGCAGTCTTGGAACCGTCTTCGGGCGCCCTGGAGCACTACTGTCTTCGGCAGTGCGGATCCTGTAAATCCTTGCGAGGGTTTACTGTGTGGGGGAAGCGAATATTGTGGAATTTACATGGGTATGTTGTCTCGGGTGCGCAAGAATTGCGTCATTTAAATTTGTTAGCAGCGTCGGGAAAACGATCATTGTATAGTTTACAATGGATTATGGCTTCGGGGGGGCGATTCTCATGCGTTTTTACGTGCCCCACGCCCCCCTCGGGAATTCAGGGCGCGCGATCCCGGCGCGGTGACAGGCTGATTTGGGGGCTCCGCCCCCCTCGCGCGCGCCGCGGACTTGAACAATTTACCGCAGAAGGCAGGAAGCAGGACTGTAACATTGGAGATTCGATTCTGCAAGTGCTGCAGGGGGGAGCGCGTTCCGGCCCACGGCCGGGCGGCCCCGCCAAGGGGCCAGCGGATGCTGCTGTTGATGATGATGATGATGATGATGATGATGATGATGATGATGAGGACGGTGATGGTGATGGTGATTGTGATGATGCTGATGCTGATGATGATGATTATGATGATGCGGATGCTGACGATGATACTTATAATGTTTATTCTGCTGTTGCCGCTGCTGGAAATGCTGCTCACGCTGCTGGTGATTACGAAAGTGCGCCAGTGGATCTTCCTGAACACACTAGGGGGGGGGCTCCAGAACCCCCCATCACCCCTCCCCCCCTTCAAGAGGGGGGGGGGTCCGGAAACCGCCCCCCCCCCTCCCCCTTTCAGGAGTGGGGTGGTCCCGAACCCCCCCCCCCTTCCTTGAAGGGAAGGGGGGGGGTCCAGACCCTCCCCCCCCCCCGCCTTGGCGCTGGAAAGGGGGGGGAGGGGATTCAGACCCCCCCCCTCGTGTAGGGAGTACGGGGTTTGGAGTAGGGAGTGGTGAGTAGTGAGTTGTGAGTTAGTCCGTAGTGAGTAGTGAGTATTGGGTAGTGAGTAGTTGGTAGTGAGTGACGAGTAGGGAGCAGGAAATGGGGAGTAGTGAGTAGTGAATAGTGCGTAGTGTGTACTGATAAGTGAGTAGTCAGTGGCGAGTAGTGATTAGTGAGCAGTGAGCAGCGAGTAGCGAGGAGTGAGTACTGAGTAGGGAGTAGGGAGTAATGAGTAGTGGGTAGTGAGTAGTGGGTACTGAGTAGTGGGTAGTGAGTAGTGGGTAGTGCGTAGTGCTTAGTGAGTCGTGAGTAGTGAGTAGTGAGTAGTGAATAGTGAGTAGCGACTAGTGAATAGTAAGTAGTGAGTAGTGAGAACTGAGTACTGAGTAGTACGTAGTGCGTAGTGAGTAGTGAGTAGTGAGTTGTGATGAGCAGAGAAGTAGTGGGTAGTGGCAGTGGGTAGTGAGTAGTGAGTAGCGACTAGGGAGTAGCGTGTAGTGAGTAGTGAGGAGCGAGTAGGGCGTAGTGAGTAGTGAGTTGTGACTAGAGAGGAACCATTAGTAAGTAGTGGGTAGTGATTAGTGAGTAACGAGTAGGGAGTAGCGAGTAGTGGGTAGTGAGTAGTGATTAGTGAGTAGGGAGTAGGGAGTAGGGACTAGGGAGCAGTGAGTAGTAAGAAGTGAGTAGCGAATAGTGGGCAGTGAGTAACGATTGGTGAGTAGTGGGTAGTGTGGAGTGACTAGTGACAAGTGACTACTGAGTTGTGACTACTGACTGGAGACTTCTGTAGTGAGTAGGGAATAGAAAGTAGTGAGTAGTGAATAGTGAGTAGCGGGGAGTGAGTAGTGAGTATTGAGTAGCGAGTATGGGAGTAGCGAGTGGTGAGTACTGAGTACTGTGTAGCCAGTATTGTGTATGGAGTAGGGAATAGCGACTAGTGGGTAGTGAGTAACGATTTGTGGGCAATGCGTAGTTAGCAGTGAGTAGTGAGTAGTGGATAGTGGGTAGTGGGTAATGAGTAGCGATTAGCGAGTAGCGAGAAGGGAGTAGTGAGTAGTGCTTAGTGAGTCGTGAGTATTGAGTAGTGGGTAGTGAGGAGTGAGTAGTGAGTGGGGACGAAGGAGTAGTGAGTAGGGAGTAGTGAGTAGCGAGTAGTGGGTGGTGGGTAGTGACTAGTGGATAGTGAGTAGTGAGTCGTGAGTAGTAAGTAGGGGGTAGTGAGAAGTAGAGAATAGCGGGTAGTCAGTAGTGGGTAGTGAGTAATGAGTAGTGAGTACTGTTTGGGGCTGGGATTAGTGGTTGGGGTTAGGATTAGGGGCTTGGGTTAGGGTGAGGAGGAGGGGTAGGGGTGGCGGGGGTCGGGTTCCGGAGTCAGGGGGCGGCGTGGCGAAAGGGGGGGAGGGGGGGGGGTCGGACCCCCCCCCCCTTTTGAAAGGGGGAGGGGGGGGGTCCCCGACGACGGATCGGGGAAACTGGGGAGGGGGGGATTCCCCGACGACGGATCGGGGGGAAGGGGGGGGGGGTCCCCGACGACGGATCGAGGAAGGGGGTGGGGGGGGGAGGGGTTCCTAACCCCCCCCCCTTGGGGAGATCCAGCGGCGCACCCTCGGTGATAACGATGATGATGGTGATGATGGTAATGCTGAGGACGACGATGATCATGATAGTGGTGATGAAGATGATGACGATGGCGATGACGAGGATGGCGATGACGATGAGGATCAAGATGGGGATAATTATGATGATACTCATAATCATGATGTTGTGGATGATGATTATGAAATGATGATGCTGATGATGATGGTGATGATGATGGTGATGCTGATGCTGCTGTTGATGCTGTTGACGATGATGCTGCTGATGATGATTATGAAGTGATGATGATGAGGACGATGATGAGGACGATGATGATGACGATGATGAGGATGGCGATGATGAGGATGGCGATGATGATGATGATGACGATGATGATGATGATGATCATGATGATGATGATGATGATGATGGTGGTGGTGGTGGTGGTGATGATGATGATGATGATGATTTGGATTGTGATATTGATATTGCTGTGATGCTGGTGATGATGCTGTGGTGATGATGCTGATGATGATGATGATGGTGGTGGTGAGTCTGGTGGTGCGGGTGTTGATGCTGGTGATGCTGTTGTGGTTGATGATGGTGGTGATGTTGACGATGATGGTGCTGATGATGATGATGTTGATGCTGAAGCTGGCGGTTGTGATTATGATGAGTGTGGTGGTGAGGTTGATGATGCTGACGATGATGCTGAAACTGGTGACGATGATGACCATGTTGATGGTGGCGGTGGCAGTGCTGGTGATGATGGTGACGATACTTGTGAGCATGGTGGTGATGAGTGTGATGAAGGTGAGAAGGAAGCTGATGATGACGAGGAGCATGGCGAGGAGGAGGAGGTGACCGACGGTGACGATGCGGAAGTGACACAATGATCATACGGAGCAGGATTTGCTGGCGCTGAAGGAGGGGCGAGGACGGTTATGGGGAGGTGGAGGGGGGGGGGGGGGGTGGAGGAGGGAGGGCAGCTGAGGATGTTGTAGATGTGGTGGAGGGGGGATGGGGGTGTGGTGGTGGTGCAGGAGAGGGAGGTGAGGGTGAGGGTGAGGAGGAGGAGGAAGAGAAGGAGGAATATAAGGAGGCGGATGAGGAGGAGGGCGATGAGGAGGAGGAGAAGGAGGAGGATGTGAAATAGGAAGGACAGGAGGATGGGGGAGGGGGACGGGTTGAAGAAGGAGCAGGAGGATGATGACGATGAGACGGAGGAGGATACGGAAGTGGACGAGGAGGAGAAGTTGGTGGTGATGGAGGGGGAGGAGGAGGGTGAGATTGAGGATAAGTAGGAGGAGGAGGATGCGGCGAAATGCGAGGAGGAGGATGAGGCGGAGGGGGAGGATGAGGAGGGTGTTTGTTTGGGGGGGATCGTCGTCGTGGCCCTTCGAGGTTCTTGGACGCCGCTGCGAAGGCGTACTACGACAATCCGTACCACAACGCCATGCATGCCGCCCAGGCCTCCTGCCTACGTGCCTCTTGCCTCCTCTCTCCTCTTCCCTCCTCTTCCTCCTCCTTCGCTTCGGCTCCTCCTCCCTGCTCCCTCCTCGCCTCTGGTCCCTCCTCCTACTCCTCCTCCTTTTCCTCCTCCTCCTCCTCCTCCCTCGTTTCTTCTTTGTTGTTGCTTTCCTCCTGTCTCCTGCCTCCTGACTCTTCCCCCTCCTCCGCCTCCCCCATTCGCCCTTCCCGTGTGCCCCTCGTCCTGTGCCCTCTATGCCGCCAGTTCCATGTGCGCGGGTCTCCGCCAGGAAAGGGTTTTGGCTGGGGATATTGTGATTGTGGTGGCGAGGATGGCACGCGTACGTGTCGCAGTTGACTCAGTTTTTGTATTTTTCGCTCTCGCGGTTTGTTGTATCTAGTGTGGCACATCTACCACATGTAGTCACTTCGTATCCGTGCAGGCCGAGATGTGCCAGCAGCTCCAAAAACGTTGTTTCTTGTCCCCCCTCCTCCTTTCCTCCCTCCTCATCCCCATTCTTCCCTCCGCCTCATCCCTTCGCCCTCCCTTTCCTCTCTCCCTTCCTTCCTCCTTCCGCCCGCCTTCCCTCCTCCTCGTCCTCCTTCCAGTCGCCGTTCGGTGTTCTGTAACTGCAGCTCGGCCGCGCGGGCTGCCAGAGAAACGCACCCCCTGCGACTATGCATATCGCACCCCCCGCAGCCCAGCGTGTTGGGGGGCAGGGTGGTGGTGGCACTTCTATCATGTACCCTCGCCCATACTAGGGGAACAAACGGTGTCGTACACATGAGCTGTCGGAGATCCGCGCGGATTCTCGTCTCGACGCTGGGGCCCCCTGGCGGCGTCTCTGGCGCCGCCGCTGGCGTGCTCCGCGCGCCAGGGTGGGGGTTCAGCGCCTATCTAAGAAGTCCGCGTAGACCTCCGAGAAAGTATGTGTTTTTCATTCTTAGTTTTTCTAGTACTGTACTTCACTCATATCGTTATGTGACAGTTATCTGTGACGCTTTGTCTGGCCACCGGGAGCTTGTATTGCCGAGTGCGCGTCATACACGGCATCATCGTATCCCGTGCCAGAATCTCTGAAACGACGAGTGTGTGCATTCTGGCCGATGTCAATCCCGACAGGGTTGGACAGTTTAAGTATCGATGGAGCATTTTGTTTGTAGTTGAAGAGAGGAAAGCAGCAGGGGCCACAACTACGAAACAACGCCTGGATAGAAAAGGGTATATCATCGGAGACATTGCTTTTAGTCGCCCTGAGAGGCACTGGGAGTTGTGGGTACCTGGAGTCCAAAGTACGGAAACCTGGTCTGAATGTGAAGACGCGTACGTGCGATTCGCATGGCCGTGATGAGTCGCATCACCATCATTTTTCCCCGTTCTAGATCCGCCTGCTTCCCTCTTGCCTCCCCCGTCCCTGCTAACTCCGCACGCGCACCGCATCATCATGCGTACAGTCGTGCTCTTGATGGATGTTCTTCTGTCCAAGGTCCGACTGTACGGCAAGAGCGCGCCGTGTCGGCGGGCCGCGACCCCGCCGCCGGCGTTTGACATGGAACGCCGAGGGCGACTCCGCATCGGTCGATGTTGAACGATCTGATGTTGTGGAACTGGCCGAAGGTTCAAGGTTGAGCGATCCCCGCGGTGTCGGAGACCAGCGCCGAGGTCAGCACGGCTCGAGCCTGCCGTGTGCTCTCCGGCCTGCTCCCGATCCCTCGGGGGGCCACCGCGCCACGGGCGCGCCCGCCTGCCCCGCTCCCAGGGGCGCGGGCCCTCCCCGGCGACGGCGGCTCCGTTCGTGCTCGACCCTGGGCGGCCGAGCCTGGTGCGCGCGAGGTCGCCACGAATTCGGGCGGCGGGGCCGACTGCGCCGCGCGCTCGGGGAGCGCTCCGACTCGTTGGCATCGCTCGGACGTGTGCATTGTTCCTCCGGCGAGGACCATCGAGGAGCATCCTAGATGATTTGGTGGAAGCAAAACACGCACGAAACCGGAAAAAAAACATAGGGAATGGACGTCCGAGCGATGGCGAATGACCCGTGAGCCGCCCGCCCCGTCCTTGGCTTCCTTCGGCCGCATCTTTCCTCCCTCCCTCCTCCTTGCACGATTGCACGATTCGCTCCGACGGCGTCCCCGCCCTACCAAACAATGTTCAAAACCTGTTGTGGTTCCCAAGGACTGTTCTTATAACATGTTTGGCTTAGCCTGTGTAGTTTTATCACATAGGGCTTATGTTATGAGGACTTTGTTTCGTTCTTAAAACATTTCTCGGGTGTAAGAGCACTTCGTGGTATAACTATAGGAATGCCGGGACGGTCGGTCCCTGCTCAATATTTCATGCTTGCACGATTCGTTCCAACGGCGTCCCCGCTTAAGCCTCTCATCGCCAGCGCAGTCACCCTCTGCCAGGCCTAGCCGCCGACGGAGACAAGTTTGTGTAAGGCGTTCGGCCGGGATCGGCCTTTCCCCCCCCCCCCCCCGGGATCACGTCACGCTATTGTGCCATTGTGCCCACACTGGCAGATCTGTTCCACGGATTCTTCCAGGGTTTCCGGAGGTTTCTGGCCGCCCCCCGCCGTGATGTGATGGGGGGCGACCTAATTTTGAGGACGGGCGACAGCTCACCTCGGGGGCGGCTCTCATAGAGTTCAGGCCCGAGCCAGGCGAGAGAACGGATTCCATCCTCGCCCGTTTCGAATTGGCTCGTGTTGGGGCTGACTCAGTATGGCTCGCCATTCCAAACATTCGGCTGCCCACAGCGGTGCTGTGTAGAGCCTTAAGGTGCGGCATGTGCAGGGCTGCGCTAATAATGCTGCGGCCTCTCTGCCGCGGACCCAGCAACAATCTGACGAATTGTTGGGCCGCATGAGTAGCTTTGGGCATCTGGCTGAACGCGCTCCTGTCAAAATCGGGAACGCGTCGCTGGAAGGCACGGGGCGCGGAAACGCGAACGCATGCGTGATAGACGTCAGCGGAGACGCGGCCGCGCCCGACAACGCATGGGCCGACGACCCGCGCGACCCAGAGGAGGCCACTGCGTTGCAGTCGACGGCCCCTCAGGTTCCAGGGCCTGGCAGAAGCTACCCAACGTCATCAGCGCAACAGGGCTGGGGACAGCCTTCAAATCCCCAATCGCACGCGGCTCCTGAAAACCAAGCTGCCCTATGGGGCCAGATCTTCAGTGGGAATTTGCCCGTCGACTGGGGCAGACGCCGACGCGCTATCATCCGACGGAAATGGACACGTCGGGTTTGCCCCCCGGGCTCGGGAAGCGGAAACCGCTGAATATTTGTTCCTAGGCCACCGCCGCGCAAAACGCCGCTGGGGGTGGTTCAGCAAGAAGCTCGCGCGGCGAGTGCGTAGGGCATTGCGGAGAGCATTCCGCCGGCGGGGGGGGGGCGTCGCGGAGAGGGCGGTCGTCGCAACCGACGGTTGCACGGAAAAGTCTCTGCCGCATTAATGGCCACGTTTGCTGGGATTGAAGACATCTCCCAGGCAACGGGTCGAGGTGGGCGCCATTCCGCGGGGGAGGGAATTGGCGGCGATGTCAACGTGGACCGAATAGGGAAGAGGGCGCCGCGCAACCGCCGCGGAAGCACTATAGATTTCCAGTGCCGGTGCGACTCTGGGGGAAATCGGGAGGGAGACATCGCGGCCCCTTCTGACGGCTCAAGAGACAATCCAGGACGGGGAGTGCGCGACTGGCCCGAACTCGATCTCCTGTGGCCAATTACCCATCTTGCATGCGCCCACTTCCACCCATGGGTGATGGCTCGCGCGTTCGACGACGCGCTCTCCGACATTGGCGGAGACGCAGCTGCGCGCGACCGGGGCGTCTCCGATGCCGAGGCGGCCCCCGCCGCGCCAGCCGAGCTGCCGAACGCGGGCTTGCCCAAAATTGCGGGCGCGCATAACGACGCACCTTCGGCAGTAACAGTCGCGCCGACGAAGGCGGGCGCATTGCGCGGGGGCGCGCTGAGGCAGAGGGCTGGGCCTGCGACGGATACCGCGCCCGAAGTCCTCATGGGCGTTGAGTGGGGCATGACCGGCTCCGACGCCTATATGACGCATCGTTCCCATCGGGGCCGCTCGCGTGGCCCATCGCGCCGCCGGCGTCTCTCGCGAGGACGTGGAACCATTAATCGGCCAAGGCTGGGCCGAGACCCAGCTCCGACACTGTCGTGCCGCCCAGAGGTGCGAGCGGGGCGATGGGCGCAGGATCGCACGGTTCTTCGCGGGGGCGCGCGCCCGCCGGCGCGCCTGGCAGAGCGGGGGGCCAGGCGGGAACGCATAATCGCGCGCAGCAATTATTGCATTCGCGCATTCTTGGGGCGGCAGGGGCGCCGCCCAGACTGCCCCATGGGCCGGGGCAGCAGGCCCCCCAAGCGAGGCGTCGCGCCGTCTGAGCCATGCCATGGCGACGGCGTGGACGCCGCGCTGCCCGCGTCTTCGGGGGCGCCCTCCGCTGCGAGACGGGGCGCGGCGCCAATGCCCAGCTTTGGGCTGAAGGGCTCTAACACTCCGCCCCCCGGCCCCCGCAGTCAGGGGGGCCCTTGATCGGGGGAGGTCCTGGCGCCCACTTCGAAGCGCCGAGCTAAGTCCGCCCGCTCGGAGAAGCCCGAGTTGGAACCGACACCGAAGGCATCTCCTGCCGACGTGCGGAAACGCTCGAGGGGGCCCGCGGCGTCCGCCGCCGCTGCTCTGTTCACTGGCCTGGCCCGCTGCCGCAGGAAGTTGCGGCCCTTCAGCCCCGACAGCCACGACGTCCGGATGCGCGCCGCGGGGGCGGGAAACCACCCCTGCGAGGAGCCATCAGCGGGGGGCTTGTTCGCGGAGGGCATCAGAGGGATATGCCATGCGATGTGAGCAAACATGACATTCCAACAGTAGCTGGCTGCTGCAATGCGGGCGCGCAGCGACGCCCGACGCGCCGATGCACGCGCAGCGGCCGAAGTGCTCGCAAGCAGAAGCGCGCGGAGTGGCGCGGGTGTGCCATCGCCCATC